CACATTGCTTGATTCGAAGAACTTTGAGGGTCATTCCCTGTTTCCCCTCCAGTGAGATCACCAAAAAGCACAGAGAACCAACCCCAAGCATCTCTCTCTCTATATATATATATATATATATATATATATATATATATATATATATATATGCAGGGGCAATACCCACATGGAATGATACGATGGTATGGGCCACTGCTTCATGATTCTGTCATAAAGGGGGAAATTATGTTTCTGAAGGGTGACACCTTATTGTTTTGTTGGGTGCCACATATAGTTTTTAAAACTGAAATGTCAACTCCAGTTTTTATATCTATTTGCAAATATCAAGAACGAGGACCTAGGATCGTTTCTTATCACAAACATCCATTACCAATAGTTAGAAGAAAGAAAGCACCCCAAGTATATGGAATGGCTATATATAGATTTGAGATCATGTGAGACTAGCTTGTTTTCGTGACACCCGTGGTCTCCTTTTTTTCACTTGAAACTTCACAACAAAATACACTGTGAAGGTTCGGATTTTTTTTACCTTTACAATGATATGTTATGAAGTTTCAAGTGTAAAAATGTGGTCTCACCTAAACAGACTGGTCTCACGTGAATCCAACCCTATATATACACACACAAGGGTGTGATTTGTTACATGTGTTATGATTACAAATTGTCTTGTTCATATATATACGACTTTAACTGGTTATCTACCCGCACAGATGCTATCTAGATTATAAAGTCGAGAACTTGAAAAGGTAATTCCTTTTTCATCTTTTGTTTTATTCTTTGCCTTTATCGATGTTAGTATCGTCAACATGTTCCGATACATGATAACTTTGTAAATGTGAAGTCTTACATTGCATCTACTGAATGTTAGAGCATAAGGTAGATCTAGTGAAGAAATTAAATTAGGCTATTATTGTATGGTAAAATACAACAACAATTACATAAGTGAATGCTTTTTCAAAGCCAAGAAACTAAGGGCCGTTTACCAAACACTTACCCGGGTAAGCGCTTACCAAGTCATATCAATTTATAGGATGAATATGGTAAGGACCAATAATCTTACCCGGTAAGAGCAAGGCAAAGACCAATAGTCTTACCCGGTAAGTGAGAACGAGGACTCTTACCATGGTTAGCGCTTACCGGGCAAGTGTTTGGTAAACGGCCCCTTAAATCCATATAATACGATTTCTCTCACTAAAAGAACAAGAATTGATTAAAAATGAATTTGATAAGACTATGCATTGATAAGCAGTATACCCATTTGAAAGTCAAAACCACCATCAGATAGAGCTTTTGTTCTTTGATGATTGGATGAGGAATAATTAAAACAAAATGTGAACATTCTTGCAAGCTATTCTACCCATACAGCAAAGGTCCATGAACCATGAAGAGGGCTGTTTATATATCAAAAGATACAAAGAAAAATGAAGATCATAATAACATAGAAAATCTTGTGCATACCCCCCCCCCCTTCCCAAAAAAAAAGATTAATGGAACTCACAGCTTATTCGCTCAGCTATACATGACTGTTTCGTAGTGTTTTAATGATACAGAAAGTGGCTTATTCTCTAGCTTATAGGGGAAGCTTTATGTAGAAAGTCAAGTTTTTTCCAAGCCTACCCCTCCCAATTGAAAACACACTCCTTCCATCTACGAAAAATACCCTCCCAATATATACATACAAATAGCTTTATCCATGTAGGACTTAATGGAAAATCAACCAAACAACCCCTTGATTCAATGTAAGATGTGCAAATATGAAKCCCAAATCATCCTCATAGTCTGGAAAAATAAAGAAAGAAATTTGACCTGCATACAGCATACTCATACAGCATACTCCACCAAAGGCTTCCTTGATTCAATGAGGTTTAAGAAAAGTTGATAAAGACTAACAACTCCAGAAACAAGATTCTCACCATTTTTCTTTATGAAACTAAAAACATAATTAAAACCAAAAGCTTTAAACAAAAGAAATGTACGTAAACTGAATCATCCACAATCAATTGTACCTTGTAATACCTCTGATCCTCTTTGGCCTGTTCTTCCTTTTCATTCAGCTGCTTTTTGACCTATCAATCATGATATCCAATCCATTAAAACCCAAAAAGTAAGATCCAAAATCAAGGATACAAAAAGAGTATAGAACATAAAACCTATAACAAATTATCTACAAGATTACAAAGCACAATATGGATGGAGACACAACCTTTGATGTATGAACTAAGAGTATCAGGTGCAAGTAACTAATTTTAGCACTAGCAGTACAAAATACAACTTTTCTGCATGAAGTACAAATATCATATGCAAGATATAACTTATACCACCTAAAATACAAGTAAGTAAATCATTTAACTTACAAATTTTTATGCATAGCATTTAATTTAAATTTAAGATACAGCTTTAACAACATCAAATACAGATACTGGATGCAACATGCAAGATGGAACTTTACATATATAAAGCACAAATCATTGTAACACGATTACACTGAATTTGATGAATCTTTAGAAAAATGGTGGTAAGAAACAGGACCGCAGACAGATTTTAACATGTGATAACGTCAATCAATAACCCATAACCCAACTCATGATTTAGAACTTAAGACCAGCAAATCAATGAGTTCCAGATATACAAAAAACCAAAAGTGCTTACGTGCAAGAAAGCTCTTCAGCTTTCCTCCATTCATCCATTGCCCTGTGGATCCCATCTTCATTTCTTCTCATGTGAACTACGTGGATCAAAAATCGGATCTATAATTTCTTTTTGGACCAAAGCAGTTACCATGCTAAACACCTGCCAAAACATCTTAACTGAGTGCCATGGCTAGGAAACCTTATACTTCAACAAAATATAGAAACACTTCTAAGAATAAGAAAAAAACAAAGACATTATTTGTAATATTTAAAAAAAAATCAATTTTGGGAGTTGAACATCAAAGAGATCAATGAGTGCTTTTCTTGACAGCAAAACAGAGTGCTCAAAAAGTTAAAAACTAGTTCTTTAGCCACAAATTGATGAAATACCTGAAGCCATCGAAGCACATATGTTGAGTCAGTTATGATCACCAATCGTCCCGTCAAATTTCAAATTTGGGCATTCAAAAATACATCTCTCTCCTAGTGATGGCAAATTGACGCCTATGCTTTTCAGCATCGGAAGATCCTCTAGATGCAGTGTGTTTAAACATGGCAATTCGTAGCCAACTGAATTGCTGTGTGCAAACAGAGTCTGCAACTTCTCACAAGACCTGATCTTGATGGTCTTGACGTTCTCTAGTGGCAAACATGAAGACAGAACATTTTCAAGCATCGGGCAACTTTCCAAAGTAAGAGTTTCAAGATTGATGAAAATGTGACTCTCCTGATTTCCGCTATATAAGCTCTTCAAACGAGTTGCACCAGAGATCCATAACGTCCTCAACTCCTTGGCAAATTCAAAGTTCTCCTCAATTTGCTTCACTTTGGGGCATGCACAAATTTTRAGAGTTTGTAAAGATGGAAATGAGATGCCGATGGTCTTCAGTTCTGRTAGTTCCCATAGATGCAAAGTTTCTAAAAATGGAAGTTCAAGTTCACTGTCAACTTCAGATAACGATACTATCTTGTCACAGTGTTTGATTTGAAGAACTTTGAGGGTCTTCGGCAGCCATGATGATGGAAACACAGTTGAAACCTCTGGACAACTGTCTAGATACAAAGTCTTCAGATTGTTGAAGCTCCCAAACAGCTGTTTCCCATTATATATACTTACTAAACGGCGATTATTTGAAACTCCCAAATTCTCCATAGCAATGCCCAGTTCTCTTTCCTTTTCATCAAAAATGCTGATCATATTGTCACATCTTTCAATCCAACATCCCTTTAATTCATTGAGAACAGAGGCACTTAAACCAGATAGCAAACTCTTGAATTTATTATCAATCAGAAATACCAAGTTGACATGACTGATAATGTTCTCAATACCCTTAGGGGAATGGTTGAATCCACGAATCTGCAGGGACCTGTTGTATTGWGCAAACCGACCAGTTCGAAGGTACACATCTGCAAAGACAAGTTCACGTCTTCGAAGATATCTCTCTCCAATTTCACCTTCCACCATGACAGGTAATGCACATAAGTGGAATGTTCCTTGTGGTGTGGGACTTCTTTTGAGAATTTGAAGAAATTGAGTGCCACTAAGAAAAACGGAGATTTGTCACCGTCAGAAATCCGACAGATGTTCCACTGATCCTGATTCATCTCTTCCAACAAACATCCTACACGGTTGCTTTCAACTCCTTGAATTTTTTTTATATTTGGAAATTCGAGGTAGTCAAGATGACATAGTAGAGATATCTTATGAGGTATTCTCAAAGTAGGTGCTAGTAGATCGTTAACCTCCACATCTGGAACATCTTCCATCATAACACAATCTTTGAGCAGGAGCTTYCGAAGGTTGTTGGAACTGCTAAAGTTTGGTAAACGCTTAATTGATGATCCTGATAGATCCAAAACTTCTAGCTTAGTAAGTGGATCAAAAGTTGGCACTGTTTCTAAGCATGTGCAACCAGCAAGAGAGAGATGGGAAAGGTTTTTGAGGTTCAACATGGATGGTAAATGCTCAATCGGGGTGCCAGATAGGTCAAGAAATTGAAGCTTGATCATATCTTTMACGGGTTCAGCCCCGTTCGATGCCAAAGAGGTGATACCAGCAAGATTTAGCACTTCAAGATTCAATAAAGATACATTCAGTTCAAGATTCTGCAAGATGGTGCAGTTCTTCAGTACGAGCTGCCGGAGGTTGCTAGGATTTGAAAGGGTAGGGAGGTACTTGATCTTTGTTTCCGAAAGATCAAGCTTTTGAAGATGGATCATTCTTTCAAAAGAGATATCTGCTATATCTTCTAARGAACCASAGTGTGAGACATCAAGAACCTCCAATTTTATAGCAGATTCTAGAGATGGCAACTCTATCAAGGATGGACAGCGAGAAAGGAACAGTTCACGAAGACCGGATAGTTTGGAAAGGGGTGGCAGAACTTTGATATTAGTTTCTGAAAGATTAAGCACTTGAAGACATGTCATACGGTCAAAGAGATCATCCTCGATATCATTGAGATTCTTTGAACCTGAAAGATCAAGCACCTCAAGGTCTACAAGGGGTTCGATGCATGAGAATTGTTGCAACCGAAGGCAATTCTTAAGATAAAGATGACGAGGATTAGCAATGTTAGTAGGTAGACGATCAAGGGTAGTTCCAGATAGGTTAAGGGTTCGAAGGGAAGTTAGACWTTGTAAAGATGGATCATGAAACTCTTCAAAMTTGGTAGAACCAGAGAGATCAAGAGTTTGGAGACTTCCTAGTGAAGTTAAGCTCCGTAATCTACCTAGGTTTTTACAGTCACGCAGTAGCAAATGAGTAAGCTTTTCAAGATTTCTGAGCAATGGTGTGGTTGAAACCAAGGTATTGGAAAGATTAAGGATCAGAAGATTCTTAAATTCTAAGAAATTTTTATCCACGTAATCCAGAGAGACATTACCAGAGAGGTCAAGAACCATAAGATGTTTAAGTTTTGCRAGATTTTTGACCCTTGTCAAGTAAGGACAATCCTTAATTACTAGCCACTGTAGTTCAGCAAGACAGTAAATGGATTCAGGCAAAAGAGTGATTTGCAGTTCAGAGAGATGAAGGCTTTGAAGTTTTGGCATGTTATTGAAGAATTCCTGTTTCAATTCATYGAGAGATCTAGCACCAGAAATTTCAAGAACACACAAAGCTTTGAGAGATAGATTCAGCTCTTCCAAAAACACACAATCTCTAAGCACAAGAACACGAAGCCTATCCATCATAGCCAACGGGTTGGGCAATGATCTGATGTTGGGATTGAATAAAGCAAGAACTTGAAGTTCCTTTTCAGATTGAAGGAATCTCATGAGAACATCCTCGCCAAAATGGGTTCCATCAAGCAATAGAGTTGAAAGATTTTGACCACCTYTCTTTAAAGATTGTTTCTGTTCTTGATTCTTCCCATTAACACTTGTCCAAGGTGTTTTTAGCATTCCATCATCATGTGTGATTCTCCCAAAACCTTCTGTATCAGACGTGAACACTGTTGCCAACCCAAGACTAGCGATTTGGTCAAGACATTGGTAGAGATCATCAACTTCTAAAAGTGACTTGTCCATGAACACACGACCACCCTCTTGCTCTTTCAGTATGCCACAATCTGTAAGCTCCATGACAATATGATGACCCTTTTCATACAACTCAGTCATACTTCCAAAACCAAGATATCCTTCCAAGATCCAGTAAGTTATCAGCTCATTGTAGTGAACACTGCCAGAATCACGAAAAAAATGGTRACCATCCCACCATAAATCTTTCAGAACACCGATTGGCAACACACTGTGCATCCTGCACAATAACTTGTTCACATGATACTCTTCAGATGCTTCTTTTAACTCCTTCTCTAGCATAGAGACTCCGGATGCTTCTAGACCAAAGTAGCTCAAGGCTTTTGTTATCATTATAACTGTACCAGGCAAGCCATTACTTTTTTGGATGAAGTTTTCGCCTAGAGTTCGGATCACCGGAGACTGTCTCATTCGAGCATCAAGTTTTTCAATCAATAAAGAATTGGAATCTGCTCTAGGCAAAGCTTCCACCTCAACCTTRAATAAACCTTCATCTTCCCTGCTTGATCTAGAGATGAAAACAATTTGCAGCTTTTCATCATTATCATGAAAAGGAAACATTTCTCTCCATACTAACCAAAACTTTTCTTCATTCACCTTCCTCTTAGTTTCGTCATTCGTTACATCATCTAGTACTAGAAGAATTTTTTTCCCTTCAAGTTTCTTCCTTAACTTTTCAATCAAAGTCTCCGCGATCTCCACCCCACCACTGATCGTTATCCCATTACTATCATCCTCAACCTCCCACTCCTCAATAATGGGAAGTAAGCTTAGCTGGCAAGCGATACTCTCAGAGAGAGACTGMATGTTATAGTCTCTAGATGTAAACACCCAGAGTGYAAAATCAAATGATCTATTCCTAGTACTAAAGTCACTTACCCTCTTTGCCATCCATGTTTTCCCAACTCCTGGAGATCCGAAAAGGTTTACTTTCTTTTCACGTTGTATGGCTTCATATATTTTCTTCAGTTGCTGAATTGAACTTATCCCCTCCATTACAAGTATTCTACAACAGTAATTTCTGAAAACAGCTTAGTTTAGGAGATTTTAAGTMYTAAAACCAGAGGGTTTCAAAGTTGATTACAAGCTCTAGAAAAAAAATGGTATAAGATTAGATTTACAACAAAATCGTTTGGGTTTAGGTGTAAAAAGTACCGAATCGACATTTGCATTGAAAAACGATGAYTATTGACAAATGCACAGCMCAATCGATTACGAGATGAAACAGATGAAGCATGAATAGCATAATACTTAAGAATTTTGAGGGAAAATACCTGAAAGTTGAACTCAGGCGATTTGAATCTTTGGTGAAGAAAGTGTTAATGGCTTTTTTGAGGGTAGTTATAGAAGTTCCTGTTGTGATGTCAACGGAAGTCAACGTGCTCTATAACTGTGCCGTTTCGGGGTTGTTAAAATGGAGTTATTACGATTTTTGTCCTCCTAGTTTGCTAATAATTATTATTTTCGTCCCTGAATTTTAGAAATTACAACTTTAGTACTTATAGTTTGTGATTTATGGTTAATTTTATCTTTGTGCTCATTCTAACCTTAAAGTATAAGAGACTAAACAGTAAAGAGTTATAAACTATAGGGGCTAAAACAACAATATATTATAAACGAATTACAAACCATAGAGATGAAAGCGTTAACTTGTAAACCACATGGACTAAAATCACAATTGTTAACAAACCACAGTGATGATAAAAAGTAATTTACTCTTTACTTTTTCTAGTACGATACGTAATAATTTTACCCGGTAAGCGCTAATTAGATAACAATGACCATCGTTATTTATGGGCAGTACTGGCGGACTTAGGAATTTTTAAGAATGGGACACCTTTAAAGTGGATCAAAGTCTGTAAAGTCGTCCAATGTGTTTTCAACGGAATTCCGTCGAATCGAGTATTTTTTAAGTTTTTTGTTGTTGAATTTAATAGACTTTCTTGGTCTTTTTGTTGATATTCCTTGTATTTTCTAATATCCCAAAACACTGCTCATAATTAGTTGAAGGAGTGAACAGGATCCTGCACGGAGATGAATAGGTCCACCCTTGCTTATGACGTAAGAACTCAATCCTTAACATATCTCTTACGAAATAATATTATCAGTCGTTGACATGTGGTAAGGTAAAATTTTACTCGATTAACATTTAATAAACCACCCTATGAATTTTTGCAAATAATATTTTTGATTCAGAAAACAAATATATATATATATATATATACACACACACGCACTATATTATAAAGCATATGATAAAAACTTTTAAAAACCATTTTTTATGCATGAAGGACGATTTATTGATGCATATTACTTAAAATTCAATATTACAAATAAATTTGCACGAAAATACAACTTATTAAAATTTCAATTTTGTAACAACCCACCACAATTTATTATGTGATAATCTTAAACTTATTAAAATTTCAATTTAGTAAGGATCAAGAATCTTACCAATGTAAGAGCGAGACAAGAACCACGGTAAGTGCTTACCTGGTAAATTGTTGCATACGATACCGTTTTGGGGGATTAAAAATCTTATCCGGTAAGTAAATGACAGTGTTAAATTTTACCGGTAAGCACTTACCGGGTAAGTGTTTAGTAAACGGCCCCTAAGACTTGAACCCTTACCTTACTAAAAAAATATTAAGCTATATGATAATACAAAATACCCCTAAGGGGTTGTTTGGCAATTGCTGAATGGTTTGGTGTAGAATGATTAAATAGTCAGAATGATTAATAGGCTCTCATGATATAGTGCAAACTGAAATATAATTGTTTGGTAATTGTATACAATGAAATTAGGGCTCTTAATGGTTAAAGGAGATCTATGATACAAAATCATTCATAGAGTTTTAGAACCATTAAGAGACAGACTTTTTTTTTTTTTGCCAAACAAAATTCACATCTTAACGATTCAAAAATTGCCTCTTAATGGAATTATTAAGAGGTAAACAAACAACCCCTTAAGACAATGATAATTTGATACACATTTATCAAGTTACATGACAATGACTATTTTGATCTACATCAACCTTTTTTGTTGGTCTCTAATATTTAATCACAACCACTTTTGAATTATCTTTATGGATATTATATGTTGACTTTCTTTGGAGTTATGTACATGGTAATGGCTCCCCCACATCTTCTTAATAATTGAGGCCTAAATTTGTACATTTAGCCATTCAAGTTCCTTTTATATTATATAGGAGGGGGAGAGAGAATGGATGAGATTAATCACTTTATGCATCAAAAACATTCATTGAAGTTTATCGAAAACTTAGAGGTGATTGTCGGAATTGGTGATGATAACAATGATAAGAAGGGCATCGTCCATTGTCATGGATGTCAAGAACCCATATCGGATGGCTCTGCATATGGTTGTATCTCATGCCAGTACTTTCTGCATAAGAAATGTAGAGAACTAAGACGTGTTATCAATCACCATATACATTCGTTGCACCCTCTTATGCTTGTCGACCATGGTGATCTAGAATGGACTTGTGATGTGTGTCGTAAGGAAAGCCTAGTAGGAGGTTTCAGCTACTACTGTATGCAGTGTAACTTTGATGCATGTACAAACTGTGGTGTTGCTATTCCATGCAAGGAGGAAGARYTGATCAGGTTTCAACATGAAGGTCATCCACAACATACTTTAACCCTCCAGTCGAGACCTGCGTCTTTCCTCTGTGACGCTTGTCATTCTAAGGATGAAGACTTACTTTATCTATGTGAAGATTGTGATTTCTGGATCCACAAGACTTGTACTTCCTTGGCRCCTACTATCAATCTACCCCATCACCATAAACATCCTCTCGTTCTCGTCTATTCCCTTCCGGACAATTTCTATAGATTTGAATATTTTTGTGAATTTTGTAACACATACATCCTGCGAAATGGTTGGTTGTATCATTGTGCAAATTGTAGATACTTTGCCCATATTAAGTGTGCCTTTAATGCAGAGCAACCATCTATTCCAAGGTCAAACTTTTCCTCTTTTTATTTGTACTTTTTTTCCTTTTGTTAGTGCTTCTTCTAAATTGAATATGTCATTTCAGTGATCCTCTAGGTACGTCTGTTGCTGAAGAACACGTAAATGATGTTTTGCAATTTCCCATGTCATATGCATTCACAGATCCACTAAAATTACTTCATTTGGAAAAATTATCTCTAGATGATGATGGTGAAGCAAAGATTAACCATTGGAGTCATGATCATCCATTGATCCTTAACGTTGAACCCGGAGGTAACAACATAACCAACATTGGTTGTAGTGATCCAATAGAGGTATGTCATGGGTGTGTGCGACCCCTCTCCCTTCCATACTACAGTTGCAAAGATGGATGTTTATTTACTCTCCATAAATATTGTGTTGAGTTACCACTTACATTAGATCATCAACTTCACCCTGATCATTCACTAGACCTGGTCGACACCTATAAAGATGAGGACTACTATATATGCAATGGTTGTTTTTGCAACGGCAACAGGTTTGTTTACACGTGTGAAACTTGCAAGTTCTGTCTAGATGTAAATTGTGCATTTTTACCTAACACCATCAAACATATATCTGACAAACATCCTCTTATCCAAGTTATTGATCCCATCACTCGTTGTAAGGCATGTTACAAATTGTTTGATGGTATAAGCTTTGCTTGCAAGTCTTGTAAGTTCCGATTAGACGTGTTTTGTGCTCTATGGTCTCCACGTTTCCTTAGTCATAGGTATTGCAAAGGACATGAAATCCCATTGACATATCCCCCAGTCGAAGATCACCCTGAAGATTTTTATTGTGATATTTGCGAGGAGGAAATGCACCCCAAGCGTCCACAATATCATTGTCACGAATGCAAAAATTCCTTTCACCTTAAGTGCATTAATCGAATCGATTGTTATGCAAATGTCAAGGAGGAGGGCACTATAACTGTTTCTTATCACAGACACCCATTAACATTTGTTCGAAGAGAGAAAACGTCCATGTATGTGTGTTTTGGCTGCAATCTTGATATTAACGGTCATTTGATTATTGAGTGTCGGACTGGAACATGTCCTTTTAGAATATGTCAACAATGTCATTTAAAAGAACCCAAATAAATTTCATTTGTCCCATGCCACATTATTGTAGCGTATATGGAAATGACTGTATATATTACTGTTTTCGTACAAGGGTGTGATTTGTTATGTATCTATATAATCAACTTTCATTCCCTTTCTCTTTTTCACATCATCTCTTTTTCTATTTTTCATATTGAAACTTTTTACAGCGATTGAGAATTTTTCTGTTAAGAAGTAAATGAAACTGTATCATATTTTTTATTTATTTATTTTCTCTAAACTAACTATTGGTTTACATGGTTAATGTTACTTATTCGTTCACACTACAACAAAATCGGATTTATAGGACACTCCCAGATTGTAAGCGTCCTGTTAGATCTCTTTATAGGACCAAAAAAATAAAGTGTCTTATCTAATGGTGTTGTATTAAGTTTATATGACGTTTTTTTGATGTCGTAATAAGTTTTTTTTAGAACACTTTTAATATAAAGCGTCTCATTATCAACTTTATAAGACACTATTTGAAAAAAAATGTCATATAAAAAATTGAGTTTGTAGGACAATTTCTCAAAAGTGTCCTACAAAGTTGTTAATGCGACACTTTGTATTAAAAATATCCTTAAAAACTATAAACTTATTACAATGTCTTTAGATAGAACGTTTTATATTTTGATCATGTAAATTACGTTATATAAAACGGTCTATTGAGACATTTAGAGATTGAGGGTGTCATATAAACCCAATTTTGTTGTAGTGTCAGTTGCAAATAAATTAACAAAATTTTATATGGTAATAAGATTCTATATATCATCAAAATCTATTTTCTATATTTGGAAAATAAAAAGGTATTTGAAGTTATATATCGAATATTTTATAAAAATAAATTATACAAATGAGATTTTGAATATCTATACAACTATATTATAAAGTATTTGGGCAAAATTCTTAAAAACTATTTTCACTGCATTAAGTATTGTTTAATAATACATATTACTTAAAATTCAAGATTATAAGTAAATGATGCATGGGTACAATTTTTTAAAGTTATATGTTTAAATTCATATAACTTACTATATTATAAAACATTTGTGTAAAATTCTTAAAAACCATTTTTATTGCATCACGTATTGTTTAATATTGCATATTACTTAAATTTCAAGATTATAAGTAAACGTTGCATTTTAGTACAACTTTTTAAAGTTATACATATAACTAACTGATAAACATGATTAAATACAGAAAAAAAAATCTCATTTTAAATATAAAGTATCTAAAATATATTTAGGATAATCATTAAGTTTGAACATAATACTTAATTATTATCTTTACAAACAAATTATATTATTAAACATAAATTAAATTATAGTAAAAAGATTGAACCAGAAAATATCTTTATAGAAAACATTATATTGTTAGACCTAAAATAAATGACTTTGTTATTGACCTATTTTAAATTATACTAAAAAAATTGGACTAAAAAAATTATTAAAAGAACGAGAATTTTTAAATTGTTAATTTGATACTAATATAATTAAAAAAATATATATGTTTTCAAATTTATATTTTATTTAAATATAAAAAGATTATCGTTTTTCAAATCATACAGAACAATATTACAAAAAAAAAATGAAAATCAAGATGTATCTTGTTGCATTAAATAAGTATGCTTTTAGTATTGTTAAAATACGTTCTCTGTAATGAAAAATAAGATCGCAGGACTTTCAAACTATTTTACATATCAAATATTTTAAACAGAGTGATAAAGAAATTTGAAAGCGAATATAATTTTTTTTTTAAATATTTTTTGGCAGCCGGCCACTTTGTAATTATCAAAAAGTATTCTAAATCATAGCGATCATCCTATAAATTAAAGTATATATACTATATTATAAAATATTTGACAAAATTCTTAAAAATCATTTTTTATGTATAAAGTACTGTATATTAATGCATATTACTTAAAATTCAAGATTACAAGTAAATTATGCATAAGTACAACTTATTAAAGCTTCATTTTTGAATTCGTATAACTAACTGCAGATAAACATAATAAATAGAAGATAAACATCTCATTTTAAAATATAAAAAATCTAAAATATAATTAGGATAATTATCAATTTATAACAAAATAATTAATTATTATTTTATAAGAAAATTATATCATTAAACCAAATATAAATTATTTCCTT